GTGCAGGGCGGGGGATTCCTGGTCGGCGGGAACCCGGCACGGAACCCTCCGGCGTTGTAGGCGGGTGTGGGAAGCGTTCCCCGTTCTCCTTTTGTTTTATTTTGATCGGTCTCCTCGACGCTCTTTCTCGTTTGGTGCGGTAGCTGGTCTTTCTTTCTATCATTTTGTTTCGCTTCCGAGTGGTTTTTGTACCCTATTTTTTTTTCTGTTTCTTCGTGGGGTCGTGTATGCCGGGTTTTGAGACCACGGACTCCCAATCTTTCTTTTTTAGAGCTAATGTGAGAAACAACAACAACAACAACAACTGCTGTAGAAGCGAGTAGGGCGGCCGATGCCGCGCTTGCGGCGAANAAAATGTGAGAAACAACAACAAACAACAACAACGGAGGATTTGTTTCCCGGTAATTCGCTGTTATACATGCGCACAATGAAGCCCGAGTCGTACAATGATCAACCGGACCATGCACATTCACGCCGAATATACTGCGAACTCTGCAAATCTTTGCGCATTCTAAGTGGCATTCTGCCGTAGGCCGCAGTCGGTCAACCATGCGTACGACTAAGTCTCAGAAATAGTTCAAGGGTTTACTCGGTAGTATTACCGCCGTCGAAACACCGCCGTGCGTGGTGGGCGGTACCAGTACACCGCCGTTTTACCGCCGTTTTACCGCCGTTGCTAGGTTTTACCGCCACCGCCAAAATCGATACCAACCACCGAAAAACACAAATATCGCCAACCGCCAACCCGATACCTCCGTATGTATGGCGTTCCCACCGAAAAATACTGCCGTTTTGTTGCTCTGCCGCCACCGCAAAAGTCGATACCGGCGAAAAACGCATTACCGCCGATCGCCAAAATAGTTACCGCCATAGACTATGGCAATACCGCCGAAACATTACTGCCATCTTTTTTTTTTTTTTCTTGATAGTCTATGACACAACGAGTCCATCTCTATCATAGAAAAGAGTCATAGATTAACAATGGAATCATAGCGTCAGAGAAAACTACCTGTATGTCTACGATTTCCCAGACAGCATGTAGGGACATCTCCCCTGCGGGTAACAGGCTCAACAAATCAGTTTGGTAGCTGTCTTGTGTGTCTCATATATGTTATGTTGGGAAGAAGGTGCAGACGAAAGGTGTTGGGTACTGTTGGGTAGTCGGGCGTTTTGTGTGTGGGACCCTGTTAGTTGTAGAACATACAGCCTCCATCAGTTTACATACGTATTTTCAGTTTGGTGTGCATATGTGCGGAGTTTTTTTGTTTGTTTGTTTTTCTCCCATCATTGGACTCTGTCGTCTGCCCCTCTGGCCCCTATCCTCCACTTCTACACTCTGCCGGGACTCGAACCCATGACCTGGCCCTTAGGAGGCTGCGAGGCTGTATTACCGCCTCCGCCAAAGTAGTTGCCGCCAAACAGGACATTACCGCCTACCTCCAAAAGAACTACCCCCACATGGTAACACCGCCGAAAACGTGGACACATCAGATCCCTACAGATCGAGCTAGCTCTTTTGAGGGGTATGTCCCTGTTGATCGGTAGGACATACATAAGTGATCGGTGTAAGTGTTTCCGAGGTGGTCTGAAGGGCAGAGATGATCGGGGTATGTTCACTATGACGGTGATCTGAAGGACATAGGTGATCAGGGTAGTTTGCCAGAGGTGATCTGAAGGACATAGGCGGTTAGGGTATGCTTGCCCGAGGTGCTCTGAAAGACATGGTGATCCGGGTATGTGACCCAGAAGTTAGACTGAGATACATACATGATACGGAGTATGTTTCAGTCTCCCTCCCTCCAGGAGTGCTAACGTCTTGGTCGAACGTAATGGTTGACGATCGGAACACTAATTTATCGGAACATTCCTTGCGTAGGTGCAGCCCATGCACGGCACCTAGCTTTTCACCGTACAGCAACCTTGCGCTAACGGTGCACACAGCAACTTAGTCCTTACTTCCTCTTGCGCCGCGGCTTGGTCTAGCGTTAACGGTACATCAGCAACCTAGAACGCTAACGGTACAACAGCCTAGCTTTCCACCTTACAACAAACTTATCACCAGCGGTGCACAGCAATCTAGCGGCTTAGTTAGGCTTGCTTGTTAGAGTGACCTCGTATGTTGAAGGATCGCCAGAGGTGATCCGAAGAACGTATGTGATCGGGGTATATTTGTCAGAGGTGATACAAGGCCGCACAAAAAATTCCCCGACACCTACCCGACACCCCCCCCCCGCGGAGGGGTACGAAGGAAGTTTTTTGAGAGGAGTAACCAGAAACAGGTATACAGGTACCCGGATAGATTATCACCATTTCAGGGTGAACTAGGAAATCAAGACGACACCAATCTCCGACAGCATCCGCCGTAGATAGCGGCGAAACCAATTAACCGCTGTCTGTGTCCTGTGTGTCCTGTGCCTCGGTAGCATGATGCGCGAGGCAGATCGTTCCCGTTTTTCTCTCTCTCTGTGCCTCTCTCTCTCTCTGTGTGTGCTTTTACTGATCAGTAGTACCACACCGAAGTACTCGCGCGTCAAGCGAGTCCGACCCTCTGTTGAGAAGGGCCGGTATCCTATGGAGGCAGTGCCCATGAACGATAAACGAGCGAGCGTTGTTCGTGGTTAGGTTGTGGTAATGTATGCGTGGTACACGGTATGTGCGGTACACGTTTTTTTCTGCGGGTTTTATGCTAGAGCGTCGGGCGCCGGGATTATGTGACCATTTCTGGGTACAAAATTGACCTCTTCCGGGTACACCAGTAACCAACATCGGTCACACCAGAGGGTCCTGATTCCAGCGGAAGTTGTACCTGATGGAGGTTTCTTCAGAAATGGGTACAATGGTTTTTTGGCCAATCAGCTGACAGCCTGGGGGTGCAAGCGTGTTGATTTCTATTTGTACCCTCAAGTGGTGATAAAGTACCCGGGTATACCCTTTTCTGGTTATTGGTCAAGTTTTTTTTTCGTGGTACATTTTTGTACAGGCTTTATTGGCGTTCTCCCTCTCTATCGCCTGTGCTTGTGTATGCTGGTGTTAACGGTTTTCCTACGCCCAGACCCTGAAGAGGGTAGGGTGTCAGAGCGTGCAAACCACTATTCGGCAACGGCGCCTACTGTTCGCGAGAGCACTGGCAAAGCAGCCAAACGGGCGACTCCCGAAACGATTGATGCTTGGCAAGCTGGTGGGGGACGAGGATCCAGGCAGGGGGGAACCGGAGCACAACTGGCAGATGTGCCTGAAGGACGACCTCAAGATGTTCGAAGCAGAGCACGGATCTACGGACGCCGAGCCATGCTTCTTCGGGTCCCGGAAATAACTTGGATGGAAGAAGCGAACGTGGACCGGGGGGTACCGTGGAACACAGGGGTACTGCAGGGAGGTATTAGGTTCTTTCCTCGTGGCACAAGAAGAAAGAGGAGGCTCGCCGACAACGAGCGCTCAAACGAAACAAGAAGCCCGGCAACAACACGGACACGGCAACAACGACGGGGGCGGGACGGATATAGCAGGGTGACGAGACGGCGAGGGAAGACAGGAAAAAAAAAAAATGGTGGCGCGCAGCACACAGGACCCTCTTTCTCTGTTCGACCGGCCGTTCCCATTGCGAAACGGACAAGGAACAGTCAGCGTCGAGTCGTTTCGGCCACGGGGGGTGGGAGCTGCTCAAATTCGCGGATGGTTCATGGTTTGCGGTTCCCTACCGAACCATGCTTGAGGCGCCACGAAATTTAAACTGTATCTCGAGATCAGCATTTTAGACCGGGTCGGTCAAGGGGTAGGGGATGCGAATGAAATTCCACCCACGGATATCGAACGATGAGACTGAACCTAAAGCTTCAGAATTGAATGGACGGAACATTGATTATCTGTGGCTGTCGGATGATGGAGACCATGGAGGCTGTGCTTACCATAGTCAATCTGCGCCCTTCATTTATTCATGCTCTGTTCTTCGCTGGCTTTGGGAACCCGTTATTCCGAAGCCATCTCTGCTGATACGGCAATGCATTAGACTAATTGAAACAGAGAGAACTTTCCTGCGGCGATCACTACCGCACCTAACTTTCGCAGGCCGATACGAGGAGATGAGGGCCGTTTTGCAACGGATGACGAATGCTCCCGTTCATCTACCTTCGGGCTTCGTTCAACATAGATCTACTAGAAGACCCGGCCTCAGCTTCGCAAGTGTACGGCAATCCTGGCGGCGCAGCTTCGGCGGGAGGTAGTATCAAAGCGCACCAGGGATTGCGCCAGATCAGATTACAGAGACCTCTGCCATGATCAACAATCCAGAAGATGAAATTGGTCGAGGCAGCGAAAGCAGCAGTACCCAGGACCAGCGAGACGGGGGTGTGATGCGAATCCTTTGTCCGGGAAACGATGCGAGACTCCAAAGGGCGACGATCGTGCTGGTCGTCGTGTGGTTCACGTTGAGCTACGGCTCGTATGGGGTAGCCACGTGGAACAACCAGGTCTTTGCCGATATCGGGCTGTCCAACCCATACCTCTGTTCTGTTATCTACTCCCTCTCCGACCTCCCGGGAAATGTAGCGTCCATTTTTTGGGTTGAACGGGTGAGTGAAGGAACGTGCAATAAGGCATGTTCTGCTGTAGCAACGTGACGTTTATTGCACTTGCCCCCGACTTCCTTAGCACCAATCACCAAACAGCTCTTTTGCCGCCGGTCGTTTCGGCTTCTTAGCTGTTTAGTCGTCGTTCGGGGGCTTTTAGTGCGAGTTCCAGGAATTATGGTGCGCATGACAACATGAAAACTGTGCACTATCACCTCGGAGGTTGCATCAAGTTGTAGTTGTTGAACGAGTAGTAAACTGGAAGCTTGATGGTGCCTTTCCAATTGCAAGCCCCCCCCCCCTGTCCCATACCCCTACATTGAAAATGCTCCGTTCAGGTTGGCCGAAAACCGCTTTTGTCTGTATCAATGGTCCTTGCTGCGGTTGCGCCATCAGTTTTCGCTCTCGGATCTGGATCTGGAGCAGGAGTGGTAGTTTCTGGGGCTTGCCTATTCAACGCGTTTAGCACGTGTGGATGGAACGCCCTAGGTGTCGTTTCGACAGAAGCGTTTCCGACTGCCGCGAGGGTGTCGGGGATGGGGTTGGTGTCGGCAGCTGGGAGACTGGGTTCGATTGGGGCACAGTTCGCGAACGGTTCCTTGGAGGGTAACGTCTTCCTTCTGCTGGTCGTGACAAGCGGATTGACATTGGTGGGAGGGTTAGCATCTTTGCTGCTCCTCGAGAGACGTTAGGGGTGTCTCTCGATGACACGACGCCAGATCTTGCAGTCTCGTAATCTAGGCTGTACCCTTCGAGTAGGAGTCGGAGGGCCGAGGGGTTTTGGAGGTTTGTGTGGGAAGCATGGTTCAACTTCTCGCGGTATTGAAACAAGCAGTGCAGAGAGATACATGGGTCTCGCGACATTGCCACCATTGCAGAATGACTCATCTGGTCCTGAACGTATCAAATGCGAATTGAAACAGTTTTTTTTGTACGAAGAAGTAGTGCATTATCGGCGCGCCCTCCTGCTTTTATTGTGTTCCTCCGGTACATATATTCCTATGCTCTACCGCTCGCGTCACCGTGTTCGCACGACGCTTGGGCACACTATTTCTCCTCCGGCAACATGCCCATCCTTGCTGCCTGACTACGCCCCGTGCCCAAGACGCACACACGAAACATGAGTTGAAGGGTAGTCGCCCCCAATGACTACGGCGCACGCCATGGGCACGATTTACACCGTCGACACCTGCCGCTGCTCGGGCCTGAATCGTTCCCCCCAGTCTCCTCGCGCGTTATCTTCGAATAGCATAAACTCGAGCAATAGTGCCACCACCTCTACGTTGACGCTGTTGCCTACCAGCGCACAACGCTGACGTAGGGTGAGGGACGTCGGGAAATCAAAAGCTTCCGGAAACCCGTGCAACCGGAGCATCTCCCTATCCGAGAACCACCGAACCTCTTTCCCCTCGGTTTTCAGGTCCAAACCGGATGGGAAGCGACCTAGCTTCTCCCCGCTAACCCGCCGTTCACCGTCATCTGTCAACAGCACGACCGGCCCCGCGCGTCCCGCGTGTTTGCGGTAGCCTTTGGTGAAAGTCGTAGTCTTGGTTGATTGTAGGGTGACCACGTCGAAACGAAGGGACGGGTTTGCGTGTGAACAGGCTTTCGGCGATAATAAGAGTGGAACCGCCGCCTCCCCGCATAAGGATGGATCCTGCGTGACAATGTTCGGTTGAGGTGTGCACAGACATGAGCAAGTCCGCACAGGACTTAGGTGAGGATACGCCAGTCCTTCGAGGGGACGCGAGCGTGGACGCGAGAGCCCACGGTAAGACCCTGTTTGCTGGCGAAACACTTCGCCGCTCGAGGTAGGCACGGTGGTCTGCTAATTGTATCCCTAACAACGTAGGCTGTGTTGTCGCTTACAATTGTTGACTCGGTCAAGAGCACACGAATTATCATGCTAGATTGTGTCCCGTACAGATTGTCGCTTACAATTGTTGACTCGGTCAAGAGCACACGAATTATCATGCTAGATTGTGTCCCGTACAGGGACGGTACCACCAACACCACTCGTACCTACTCAGTAGGCTTAGGTTTGTCAGTGCAGAAAGGTTGGCTCCACAAGCCTTCGCGACAAGACACTCCATATCGCACAACACTTCTCAACAAGTACTCGTACAGCGGACGCAGGGCACGGCTGCCATGTCTTGGGGAAGCGACTCTTTGACGTCGGTGGCCTCCCTCTTGCCGTCGGCATTTCTCCTCCGCGCAAGGCAGTAGTACCGCAGACGGCTTTTTTACACATCACAACGCGTCAGAGCTGACGCGTCCAGACTACATGTACATCGGTGTCTCAGCGCATTTGGGACGAGACCCGTGGTCGGCTTTGGGCAAGACGAGTGCGTTATGGTGTAGTCGGAAGGGCCAAGGCTCCCCATGTGTTGTCCTCCTTTCCTTTCCTTCTCAACGCTTGCTCTTTTTTTCCTTGCTTGAGTAGTGCGGATGGCTTATTTTCTGCGGTTCCCCCCGGGGTACATCACCCCATTGAGTGTTGATGGGAAAAAAGAAACTCCCGCCACCCCATTTTTCCTATTTACCGCCGGGTTTGCAAAGCCCATCCCTTTTCCGACACCAACGATGACGGTTTTTCCTGTATTGGTGTAGCGTGCAATGTTTCGAGCGTGACTTCATTTAGTCAAAGTCATCATTGCGAAGCACTGGGTGGGTGCGGCGAATGTCTCCTCAAACCGTTAATCATGCACGTGAGATAGGACACACCATGGAAAATAATTAGGCAAACAGGAATCGTTGCGCATAGGCTTTATGAACCGTCTCCGGTGGTTTTTTCAGCGGTACGAGGGCTTGCTGAGGCGACTCATGTGCGTGGATGCAACAGCTCAAGCCCTGCTCAACGGGGCGGACAGCGTAGACGGAGGGGAAATCTGGCTACCCCTAAAAATGCGAGGCAATAGTGCTTGCTATTTCAACGGCGTTGCGTTGGGGGGTTTTGGTGCCAAGTGCAAAACCTCTGACGGAACGCTGGGGCTCGCTGTCGGTGCGTGTAACCGTCATCCCGGCGCCCAGTACACATGCAGGAATTCATCAGTAGTTCTGAGTACGCGGTGGCTCTACTGTACGCTGCAAGGGTACTCCCCAAAGAAGTAGAGGGCACTCTGAAGCTTGGGTGCAACACTCCTGCCGTGTTGAAGGAGGGCGTAGCTCGAGTACTTGCTTGCCGTGCGAGAAGTCGCTGGCGACTTCAGCGACAGCCAAAAGGCGGTGATTCCGTGGACAGCGCAGAAATTTGGGGTGAACATGCGGTACTTTCACCCAGGTGGGTTGGAATGGTTTCCACACAACGTGAACCGGCGAACTCGGAAATGTTCGAGACGCACACTTGCAGCAAAATCATGTTGGAGCTCCCGCTCTCGTTGGTCTTAACCCACCATAGACAGCCCGACTGTGACGATCAGATTTATCGTGACCCCGCAATACGACCACGCCGCCCCCTCCCCTCTGGGCCGGAGTAACCCCCTCCCACTACCCCACAAATAAGGTGATCTCTGATGGCAAAGGGATACTGTGCCCGATAATCGGCCCGGCAGAGGCCGGCACAGTTCGAGTTTTGTTCTTGTGGGGAGATGAGCCAGTGACGACGTACGTGTCATTGATGTTCAGGCCTTGGGTGATGAGAGTGAGCGCACAAAGAGGCTGTACATCTACGGGGAAAGTAATGTTGGCACTAGACTATGTACAACGTGTCTATTGATGGGTTGGGATGGCTGAAAGGTCCCAGTGGTGGTGCTGAAGGTGTTGCCGATTTCGGAAGGTGGCCTCCGGGTTGATTGCCGTTGCCGAGCAGGCCAGGACGAAAGTTCTCTTTGATTTTTGGTGTCATTGCCCAAAATGAAATGTTGCAAGGAGTTTTTTTTCTGGTGGCAAATTTGTTTGGCAGACATGCGGAGGGATATGCATGCGCGATCAAGAAGAAGAATGCGAAGGGGCTTGTTGCCATCATGGTACAGGAATATACCCCGTGTTGGGGTTGCCCCCACACCCTTTTGTCGAAACCTTTGCCGGTTATGTTTGGTTCTCCGACCAGGGACGAAGGCGGGTTGTGCTGGCGGCGTGGTTTGAGGAAGTTTCCGGTTGGATGGCATTCATGAGTGCGAGCAGATAGAGGAAAACGCACCCCGGCATCATGTGGGACATTGGTTGAATCTGCAGCCGGGTGATGTGCGTACTTCGGCACCTTCACGTACTGGGACTAATGAAAGGTAAATTCGAGACGTGTATTATATTTTTAGCTTGGCATTGGTACATGTTCGAAATTTCAGCATGAGCGGTAGCTCAGGTGCTGGCAATGGCGCCAACCCGGTACACTGCATTTTTGTTTGTTGTGCTTACACAAGGCACACGCGTGTCAAGTAATCCTTTCTTCATGTCGAGACCAAAACTCATACAAAAAGCGTGCCTTAGTACCAATCTTGGTACCCGATAAACAACATGGCACAATAAACCATCCCGTGTACGCGGCGCTGCCACCCTTACACATACGCTTATATGCTGGGGACAACACGCCCCGAAAAATATCCGCAACTTCGATCGGGGCTCAAATCATGACGCTCTCCGACTATACCCTATCCCCGATATACGCCTGTTCGATACGCACAATTCTCCTCCCATCACCAATGTTCCTTTTTTAACAAGTTTGGCAGGATCATTACGCCTTCTACATAACCCAACTCCAACAACACAAGTTCGCGCGTTAAACTTGCACACTCGACCATGATGTGCTCGAAACTGTAGCCATGCTTTCAAGGACAGAAGACAAGCCTCTTCCCGTTGACGCAGCTAGTGTCCTGAGAATACCACACCCCCCAGAATCCATCCATATTTTCGTTGTTCGCATGCGTGTATCGACGTTTCCGTAGAAAGACAAGCACAGAAGGGGGATCCGTTTGAAGCCAACAACCCCGGTCGACGCAGGGTTCCAGAAAATGGTAGTTTGACCGCCACGCCTTGGGTGAAGGTTGGTATCCGCTGGACGCCTGGCATCGAGAACACAAGCCAAGAAACAAATCAGCGATCGCGCACACGATACGCAAAGTAAAACAATGCGCGAGAAAGTTGCAGCTTCGGCATCTAGACTAGACCCAGATCTATGGGAACACATTCTTGTCAACAAATCTTGGTCAAGATCCGCCAGTTTCACGATTCATGGGGAGCAAATCTTCCGACATATCGTGGCCAAGATTTATCAAAGCCCAAAATCTGCCCTTCCGAGCAAATCTTGACCAAAGACCTGTCAACACGAGCCTGTTGACACGTCTTGGAGCGGGCTAACAAATCTTGCTGGGTGCGGCGAGATCACCATATGTCGGACAACCTAATCGTCCATAACGCCATGAAATCTGGACGTGGCACATTCGCAAGGGCTTCCAACGCACCCTGGCGTCACGGTGTCGACGCCACGGGCGCCAACAGCGGACGAAAACGACAAGGCGCGCGAAAAAAATGAGCGTTTGTCCAGGCTCGTTCCGCGTGCGTCATCACCAGAGAACACACACGTCTACTATGGAGAGAGAACGACCCCGTTCACATATCCCACTCCGGAGTTGACGCATGAAGGCCAAACCTTCGATGCTGCCACCTCCACCAACTGTTCTCGCTCGGACGCAAGTGAGGTGGTAGTGGGATGCTTTTATCCAGAGAAAGAAACATCTCGCTGGTGATTGCTTCATCTGTGGAGGGACCACTCAAAGAGTACTCTATTTGGAAGTATAAAAAAAGAGGAGGAACTTTCTGCCAACACAGCTCTGTCGTGTGCAACGCTTTTACGTATCCCTTCATCGAATCACCCCACACCCAATGCATTTGAACCCGAACCAGATCCGTGAGGGCAGGTGACAGCTCCGAAGGTTTGACCTCGGTACGCCTGCTACGTCGTGAGATACGTGCACGGGTGTCATCGGGTTGGGTTGATCTACATGTTTTTCAGTGGGACAGCAATGCAACAATCTTGCTTCTCCGCTCGACATGAGATCGGGGGCAACGGCTACTATTTTTGCACCCCAGGTGGGCGCCCACCGCTAGTATCCACCCATAGTGTTGAGGCAAAACAGCTCGGGGAGGGACGCCCCTTCTACCACTGCGTCATGCTCACTTTTCGCCACACCGTGGCAATTTCTGTGAACCAAGTGGCCGTTGCGCCTTCATCAACTTCAAGTAGATGAGAGGAACAACACGTCCCTTTTGCAACATTCAACATATTTTCCCCATATATCGCGATACTGCAAATCTTGGCGGAGATATATTGTGAGCAAATCTTGGGTCAAAATGCCAAGATTTATCGACAAGATTGTGTTCCGAAAAAGACGGGTCTTTCAGCTGAACGAGTGATAATCTTCCTGTTAACCAAAACACCCACTGGATTCACAATAACCACGTTTATGTTCCAACAAAAGATTGCTGCACATACGTCCAATGGCTTCGGCCCGTGCCTGTCTAAAGGGCGCATGACTTTGTGCGAAAGAGGCCATGCACCCGGGATGTGTCTGTCTTCTGGAGCTATTGCCCATTGCAAATCGGAACATGTGATACCATGACGACAGCGCCTGAGCAACAGCTAATTTTTTGGGGGGGTAAAGAACAACGGGGAGCGACCTCACATTCAGGAGTGGAGCGAATTTGCCACACCATTGACAAACCTCAATTTTGTATTGTTGCGTGCCTGCGGCACATCCAACGTGTTCACGACCCATGCCGGGCAAAAATGGGATCAACAATCTAAATTGTGACACACAACATTTGAGTTCTGGACCCATTGCGAGACCAGGTACTATTTTTTCGCCGCCTGTGTGCTCGAAACACATCATGTGCAGATAATATGTTTGGCTGGGTTCCTTTCAGCTAACCTTGCAGAACGTCCTCACCCCGAGCTCACGTGGTTCGTGAGGACTTCACGCGTGGATCGAACACGGGTCGCCACGGCACCCGTGGGACCGCCGCACTTGTCCAAAAGACGTTCCGTTAGAGCTTCTACCACCCATCAAGCCACCAACGCTTCAAGTGCGTCTGTGGTGCAGCAGCAGTCCACCAACCCTTGGCATGGCGCGGCGTCGGCGCTGCCTGGCGCTCTCTCCGGTCCTTGCTCCTGTCCGTGCACATCCTTTGCTCGTGTCATTGTACAGCTGTAGCAAGCAAGCCAAACGTTTGCACAGTGCAAGGGTGTCGCACATAGCCCCCCCTCGTCCAGGGCAGGAAACTGGTTTGCAATGCCAACGTCGTCTACGAAAGCTTGGACTTTGTTGGAAGTCCTAGGCCTCGTGTGTCGCAGGTCAGAAGCTTTTCGCAGGAAGTGGTACAACGGTGTACGTATGTCATCGTTGGGATAGGAAAATAAACTGTCCAGCATTGGTAAAACGCAAAAACCAAGCATGTGCTGGCAAAACCAAGATTAGTTGGAAGAGTGGCAAGGACTACAGAAAATCGTTTCGAGGCAGATGCGACTGCTGTAGCACCATCATAGGTGCTGTAGACTGCTGTAGACTCACACGACCGGACGCAGCTCCTGCGGCGTATTATTAAGTTCCCCCGCGTGTTTGAGGCACCCGTTGGGAAGGTCTGTATGGCTTCCAAAGAGCTGATCCCAAATTCTACAAACGGTGTTTGAGGTCTGTGGTTATCAAATGTTTGGAACTCTCCGAGGGATGGTTCATTTGGTCGACGTTACGGTTCGCAACTCGCCGTCAAAGTTCGCCTCCCAGAGTGGCGAAAGCACGATGCGCAAAACAGGCTGCAGACGGCCTCAGGCTAACGATGCGAATACCTCCCACCCAAGGTACAAGTTACCGCTATAAATCACTCACACGTGTAGGCTTTCTTGCACTTCTCGCCAAGATTAGTATCTTTCCTTCCCCTGGGCGTCGAGTTCCATCGTGCACATGCTGAATGACCTGATGGGGACGATGGGGACGGTTGGGGGCTCCGCGGGTGTCCGGTTCTTGCTGCACCTACTGCGTATATACTGGGGTGCAATTATTACGAACCTCTAGACTGTCCTCACCAGTACCTTCGTGTCCTGGCAAATCTTTTCAACTTTCCTGAGTGCTGAGTGAGGCAGCAACACGTGTGTCGGGTGCAAGCGCAGCGAGCGACTCGCGGAGTCTTTGCCTCTTCCAAAGAGCTCCTTCCAAAGCTACGCTATTACGTACGTCACGGGCTGTTCCAAACAAGTTGTAGCGGGATCTCTCCTTTGCTCCGCTGTCGTAAGAGAACCTGGCCGCAACAGGAACATTCGAACATCCAGGACACAGGACACCCACCATCGCGGCGCACACCGCACACTACACGGCACACTGCATGCCGGTAACGGCGTTAGACATGGAGGCTGAACCGAGTGCCCTGTCGGACCCCCTGTCGCCGAACCTGGATCCTTCATACGTGGATACCTTGTTGGTGAACTCCTGTGGATGGAAATTTCGGGCGCAAGTTCTACTGTGAGTGTAAGAGTACGATAATTTTGTGATGCTCGCTCGGGTGCTCGCTCGGGTTCTCGGCTAATCACCCTAGGTTTAATAATTATTAGGAAAAATAACTACACACACAGAAAGACTACCCGTTCGAGATATACCCATAGCAGTCGAACGGGATGTGGTGGAGTCTTTTTCGCCAAGGACTCATTCCGTCGCACTACACTTGAAAATATATCAGAGTACACGAAAAAACAATTCCTGGACCCACACTATAAGTAGCCTCCCCCTTGTTGCTGCCAATTTCTCCGGTTGGTCAACAAGAGATTGTCGAAATGATGAATTCAACTGTAGGTGAGTGGTTGCTGGAAGACAGCTGCATTGGTTGTTGCTGTTTTTCTCCCATCATTGGACTCTGTCGTTTGCCCCTCTGGCCCTATCCTCCACTTCTACCAGCTAGACGACCCAACCGGGGTCACATAGGAGGAGGGGGTTGGACCCCCTCATGCGGTTCCTGCCTGAGATATTTTTGTCGCGACAAGGGTACAGCAATCCCTTCCCTCGCGACTTATGAAGTCGATCAAGTTTATTTACTAACAACGAGCTTTGCAGCGCGTCGCTTCCAACGGAGACCAGGATTTAATAAGCGAGAAAAAAACTCACTCTGTCGGGACTCGAACCCATGACCTGGCTCTTAGCAGAGGCTACGACGCTACCCACTAGACCGCATGTTGTTGTTGTTGTTGTTGTCTTCACATTAAAAACCATCCCGGTCTCTCTATCCAGTACCTCCTTCTGTCTCAATCTCTCCGTACTAATCCATCACTTGACTCGGCCAATTTCCGTGGTCACAGGCTAACGTACCTAGAAAAGGTATACCAAAATAAAATGGACCCCAAGGGTCAGCAGAGCGAT